TTTGCAGGGTGAGAATGTTATTCAGAGACAGAGAAAGATGTAAGAACAAGACAGGTTGAATTCTGTTTCTGTGAAATGAACACTGACTTGTGTTATTCAAATGTTTGGTAACTCATCTACAATGTGGGATACAGCAAACAAGCAATTCAATTATGTTGTTTTCCCATTGCTTGTTATGTTTTCTACATAACAGATGTGTACTATTCTTCCATCCATCCACTTATCCGAAGTTGGGTCAGTAAGCTAAGCACACTTTTCCAGACATTCCTCTCCAACTGAGGGATCCTGTGGAACTGGATCATCTAGCCTGGCATTCCCGGGCTAGATGAGTAATTTTTATGTCTCCAGCAGGTTTCTGGGCATGACCAGAACACCTGCAAAGGGAGGTGCCCACGAGGCATCCTCGAACCATCTGAAATCGCTCCTTTCAACGTGCAGGTTTACACTTTGTATACAAACCCATATATAATATAATTTTAGAAATCACATTGAACGATCCACTAAAAAGTAATAACTGACTAAAGAAAATAACAGAATGCACCTCAGCAGGTCAATGTTATGATGGTGAGTTCATGGATGACATGAAGGCAGCTTCTTTATGGCAGCGGACGAAGACAAAGAAAACAAAGGGGGAACTCAGTCAGCTTTAGTTTTCCAAGTATTCTACTTTATCAACTTGCTGAGCATTTTCTTTTTCAAGTTGTTGAAGCCAGGACTGAAGATCCAGAACATTAGATCACATGCAGTTGACTTCTAAACTGGAAACAAAAACTGACTTATGCAAACTGGAATTAATAGGATTGACTTTTGAAGCAAACAGGTCAGGTTTAATATTTGAATGACATACCATGCTGTTTTAGTGTTTTCCTGTCATAACATTAGGAAGCTTTTTTCTTGTGTCCTTTTGTTCCTTCAGCAATCCCACAACAACATGAATGTAAGGAAGAGGAGGGTCTCCTCCAGCAGGTCTGCATCCCGGAGAGGAACTCCAGTCTTGATCAGAAAGACCCAGGGCATCCAGAGATTAAAGAGGAACCAGAAGAACTCTACACCAGTCAAGAGGGAGAGCACCTTATACTGAAAGAGGAGACTGATACCTTTATGGTGACTTCTACTTGTGAGGAAAGTGAACCAAACAGTGACCAGCTCCTTTCTCACAACTGTCCTGAACCAGAGAGCAGAGACGAGGAAGAAAGCAAGTATGTGGACTCAGGATCGACTAGATGTGCAGATCTGTTGAGACATCAAATAGACAGAAGTCATATTAGCAGAGTAAATGACTCTCAGGCTTTAGACAGCCAGTGTAAAACTGATACAAGTAGAAAGTCTGTAAAATGGACACTTGTGGAAAAAACCTTTCAGTGTAAATCCAACCTGACTAAACATCTGAGAACACACACAGGTGAAAGCCACATTCATGTAGCATCTGTGGGAAAGGATTTAGTCAGATGGCAAACTTGAAAACACACATGAGAATCACACGGCGAGAAGCCACATTCTTGCAACACCTGTGGGAAGAGATTCAGTCACATGATAACTTTGAAACTCACGTGCAAAATCACACAGGTGACAAGCCGCATTCTTGTAGCACCTGCGGGAAAAGATTCAGTCGTATGATACACTTGAAAACTCACATCAGAATTCATACAGGTGAGAGGCCGCATTCGTGTAGCACCTGTGGTAAAAGATTCAGTCAGAAATCAACACTGGAACTCATGTAAGAATCCACACAGGTGAGAAGCCACATTCTTGTGCGATCTGTGGGAAAAGATTTAGTCAGATGGCAAACCTGAAACGACACATGGGAATCATACTAGTTAAAGATCACAAATGAGTGAGAGCTGTCAGACATGGCAGTGGCCGATGATAGAGCCCACACTGGTGACAAACCAAATCACTGCAACAACTAAGGGAAAATGTGACCTCATATTCAGGTTGAACGTTACAGAACTCTCAAATTTTTATTTGGCTTATTATTATGACGCATTGGAACCTTTTTTATTGTACTTTTAAAAAAATAAATTGTGACGTGGTGACCAGAGAACAAAACAGTTTTTCCCCTGCATCTTTGGTTGGCGAACGTTTCCTGGCTGATGTCTGTGCTTACATGCCGAATACTATCCGAGAACTATTCAGCATGTACCTGGGCTACTTAGGGTCCCCAACACTCAGCATAGAAGTGAAGTAAACCTGCAGGGTGTGATTGAAGGAATAGCCTGTCCAGTCTAAATCCAAGCAGTGCTTTGTCGGGCTTCTGTGATAGTCCTACTTATTCATAATCAACACTATCTTCAAACAAGTGTGTCTATGAGTGCACATCGCACCTGAGCCATAGATTGCTGATCAATTTTGTAATCATATAGTCAGGTCTGCAGCTGTATGTTCTGAACTGTCAGGTTATGAGTTGTCAGTTGATCATTAGCTAGTGGTGAGTTGGAGGAAGTGGTGGGAAGGATGCCAGACGACCTTGCATACCCATACTGTAGATGTGCTGAAAGCATCTGGTAGAGGTTCCAGTTCACAAGATCTTCAACTCTGAGAGCTTTAACTGCATTCTGATGAGCTAGGGACATTGACTCTGAATGGACTGTTTCACGTGTTTTTCTGTCTCGGAGTAGAGCTCCTACTCCCCAAATATCAAAAGGAGATGTTTAAGGTGGTTTTGCATATAACCAGAAGTGTCCAGTGTGAAGTGTTCTGGGCACTGCAGGATGTGGCCCCAGGAGAAACAATGGAGAGATTATATCTCTCAGCTGGTTTGGGAACTCATTGGGGTCCCCTTATCACCTTGTTGTTGAATGTGCTATACAAATAAATTTGCTTGCCTTGCCTTGCCTTAGGAAAAGCTGGGAGGAGATGGCTGGAAAACTCTGTACTCTGGGTATCTCTGCTTATACCTGCAGCTATACAAGGTGTGGCCAATACCCAGAAAGTGGAAGAAATGGATTACCTGTCCAACTGTCAAAAATTACAACTCTGGCTCCTTGAAAGTAAAATGTAAGAAAAGAGGGTGCTCAAGACATTTGCACAGTACTGGTAACTGGTTTGTTTTACCTCTATTTTAATTTTCTACTGTATTTTTAATTTTGATTTTTTTATAATTATCAATTTTGTTGTTCAGTACTTTGTGATTACATGTCTGTGAAAGTGCTATGTAAATAAATTTACCTAATGTAGTTAATCAGCTAGGTAATGAGGAATTTTCTTCCTTTGCTTCATTTTTAATCTGCTCAGTTTCTTTTATTGTTTTAGTTTTACAGATTTGGCTGAAATTCATTTAGAGTTTGACATTATATTATTATTAAAATCTGAGAGTGTTTTGACAGAAACACTGATGGAAACTGCAGGAAACATTTCAGCATCATTAAACCAGTATTCAGCTCTTGGGAGCAAAATTACAACAACAACATAGTAAGAAAAGAAAATGATTTAAATCATTTTTTTCTTTCAACTGCTCCTTTAGGGGGTCCCAAGAGTGACTCATCTTCCAGTATCTCACACAGTTTCTAGCATCCTCTTCAGTTATGCCAGCCCTCTTCATCTTTTTTTTCACTACATCCACAATGTATAACATCAGTAGTGTTTGTAGTATCATTAAACACTTCATCATCTTCCCACAAAAATTTGTATTCAGTTGACTTTAGTTTCAAACGCCACAGACATGAGATGTTGGTTTCCATAATCCTAAACTGAGCTATCTTTTAAAATCTGAATTGTACAAAGCTTCTGAATATTTTAGGAGTTGATAAGTATAAGTTACTGAGTTGTATAAAACTGCCCCCACACATCCAGACTCACTAAAACGTTTGGCCTTTGAACAAAAATCTGTATTTTCTTTTATCGTGGGACGGTCGTGGCTCAGAGTTGGGCGTTCGCCTTGTAATCGGAAGGTTGCCGGTTCGAGCCCCGGCTTGGACAGTCTTGGTCGTTGTGTCCTTGGGCAAGACACTTCACCCGTTGCCTACTGGTGGTGGTCAGAGGGCCCGGTGGCGCCAGTGTCCGGCAGCCTCGCCTCTGTCAGTGCGCCCCAGGGTGGCTGTGGCTACAATGTAGCTGCCATCACCAGTGTGTGAATGTGTGTGTGAATGGGTGGATGACTGGATATGTAAAGCGCTTTGGGGTCCTTAGGGACTAGTAAAGCGCTATATAAATACAGGCCATTTACCATTTATACTTTTCAACCTTGTGATTGATTTCACTTTGCTTGTGTTTTACTTTCTGTAAATGAAATCTGTCATCATTAAGGATGGGAGTCACAAACTGGTTCCCAACAGTTAAATTCCTTGGATTGTTAATCTCCTTGCCTGTTGATTCTGCTCATCAATTCCACTCACACTTGCTACAGTTTGTGTGCTAGATGAGGAAATAGAGTGGATATGGACATAACCTTTATTTTTATTGCACAAAAGAAACAGAGTGAGATGATACCAGAGATATCATTCAAATGCTGCAGCACAAAACTATCCTTAGCTGATGGCAATGGCACCTAGCATTGTCTTCTACTGCTGCAGGCCATTGCCTTCAAAGAGGAACATGTTATATGTTCAGAGCTGCTTCAACAGGAGGTGGAGGCCATCAATCAGTCTGCTGATCAAACAGTGGAGCACAGTGAGAAGATCTTCACTGAGCTGATCCATCTCATCCAGAAAAGAAGCTCTGATGTGAAGCAGCAGATCAGATCCCAGCAGGAAACTGAAGTGAGTCGAGTCAAAGAGCTTCAGGAGAAGCTGGAGCAGGAGATCACTGAGCTGAAGAGGAAAGATGCTGAGCTGAAGCAGCTCTCACACACAGAGGATCACATCCAGTTTCTACACAACTACCCCTCACTGTCAGCACTCAGTGAGTCTACAGACTCATCCAGCATCAATATCCGTCCTCTGAGCTACTTTGAGGATGTGACAGCAGCTGTGTCAGAGGTCAGAGATAAACTACAGGACATTCTGAGAGAGGAACGGACAAACATCTCACTGACAGTCACTGAAGTGGATGTTTACTGTCAGATCCACCAGAGCCAAAGACCAGAGCTGGATTCTTAAAATATTCATGTGAAATCACACTGGATCCAAACACAGCAAACAAACAGCTGTTATTATCAGAGGGAACAGAAAAGTTACATTTGTGAAATATCAGCAGTCTTATCCTGATCATCCAGACAGATTCATTGTTATCAGTCCTGAGTAGAGAGAGTCTGACTGGACGTTGTTACTGGGAGGTTGTGAGGAAAGGGCGAGTTTATGTAGCAGTCGGCCTACAAGAAATTCTGCAGAGCAGCATGTGGAAAGTGTGTGGATTTGGTCATAATGACAAATCTTGGGCATTGTTCCATAAACAATTACACATTTTGCCATAACAACTTGGAAACTCCAGTTTTAGGTCCTCGTTCCTCCAGAGTAGGAGTGTACCTGGATCACAGAGCAGGTATTTTGTCCTTCTACAGCGTCTCTGAAACCATGACTGAACTCTTTCATATTGTTATGGGTTTAAATCTGTTTTTTGTTTCCATTTTCTTTCTTTCTTTTTCTCTATAATTGTTGTGACATCTCTGATCTGCGCAGAGATCAGCTGTCAGTCTTATTTTTGGAGTAATGACCTCAATACTGATCACAACAAAGAGGACAAATACCTGCAGTTAATTTCATGAATGTAATCTCTTTATTATGCTGCTTAACGACAGTGATGTATCTCAACGAGAAGCCAGTGAGAACCAAATGATCATAAAGGATTCGGAATCTATAAATTCTTATCAATTCCCATCCCTACTCATCATGATAAGAAAAGCTTATACTGAGATCTGCTTCACAGTGTATACTTTTAGAAATCACATGACTGCTGAAATTTAGAAACTACAAACAGTCTACAAATTACAGTCATTCTTTTTAAATATTACTAATCAGAATCAGAGACTTTATTTATCCCCAAGGAGCAATTAACAAACAACGAGCAGCATACGCTGAATATAAGGACAATAAGAACAGGCAATAGGAGTACACAGAAAATACAGTATATACAGTTTTAAAATACACAGTTTTAAAATTAAAGTGACTGAAGGTGAATAAATAACTGTAAGTGACTAAAAGTGAATAAAGTGTCAGTAGTGTAGAAGAGTGTAGTTTATGGGTGTGGGAATGTTATCATCTGGAGTTAAAAGCAGGGTGGCTTTGGGGACAAAGGTGGCTCTCCTCTCTCAGTCTTGCAAGAATGCAGCGGAGGCTTCGCTCAGAGAGGAGCCACTGAAATGCAGGGTGAAGAATGTGAGAGGGGTCACTGATGATTTTGGCTGCCTGTCTGAGGGCCTGTTGGCTGAAAACCTGTGCCAGAGTTCTGACGGGCAGTCCAATGATTTTAGAGAACACTGATGCAGTGTGCTGCAGTCTGTTCTTGTTCTGAAGGCTGAGGAGTGGAAACAGCAGGTGATGGACAAGGTCATGATGCTTTCAAGGAAGGCATAGTAAAAAGTCATCTTGATGGGTGTGCTGACGCCAAAGGAGTTGAGTTTCCTAAGGAGGTATAGTTGTTGGTGGCACCTCCTGAGAATCTCCTCTGTGTTGGCAGAGAATTTCAGGAGGTTGTCAAAGATAGTTCCCAGGTATTTGTACTCCTCAACTACCTCCACTGGCTTCCCGTTGATGGTGGTGGTGACTGAAGCAGCCAGAATGGAGACCAGAAAGAGAGTTGTTGTCCCGAACTTTCTGAGTCCTGTTGGTCAAAAGTCCAATATCCACAGGATTAGCTGATCATCCAGGTGAAATCGGGTGGAAAGTTTAGTGGCCAGGATATGAGGCTGCAGAGTGTTGAACGCTGATGAGAAATCAGCAAACAGAAGTCTGGCGGAGGAGTCAGGAGCTCCAGATGTTTGTGGATGGAGTCCAAGATGAAGATTTTGGCATCATCAACACCTCTGTGTGCACCGTAAGCAAACTGGAGTGGGTCCATCAGGGGTCAGTTGCTCTCAGATGTGCTGTTTTATGATCTTCTCCATGGCCTTCATCACCAGGGAGGCGAGGGCCACAGGATGAAGATCATTCAGAGACTTTGGGTTGTTTCTTTTGGGGATGGGGATGACTGTGGCGTGTTTCCACAGCTGGGGACGGTGTGGACTGTCAATTGAGTGTTGAAACAGAGTCCAGAACACACTTCCTAGTTGCACTGCACAGTGCCTCAGAACTCGACTGCTGATGTTGTCAGGGCCGGGTGTCACGAGTAGTGAAGCAGACTCAGGTGCAGACCACAGACTTCTGTAAGGCAACAGTGAATTTATTTACAGTGATCTCCCACAGTGAAATATATATACAAAGGTGTTTGGGGAATGGGACAGGGTCCAGGAGTGAAAGGGGCAGGAGTCCGGGGGGGGGGGGGGGGGGGAATTCCACACAGCTTCCTTAAGCTTAAGCTACTCTTCTCTCCACCACTTCTCGTGCTCACTCTCATTCGCAGTTACACGGGGACAGGTCCAGGGGAGATCTGCACACATACAGACAATCGGTTAGTTTCCAGGTTCAGAAGTACTCACGAGTTCAGGTTGCAGGGTGACTGACGCTGATGGCTCAACGATCCAGCGACGAGTAGAGCCGGTCTGCCATCTTAAGTAGCACTCCAATCGTCCTAATCAGCTGCAGGTATGCTGATCATCCCAGGTGCGTGGGCCAGGGGAGAGTGAGAGAAAAAGAGAGAGCAGAAGGGAGAGAGGGGAAAAAAACCCAAAACATAGCACCTGACAGACGTCAGCTGGCGAGATGCGGGGATCATGACACCGGGTGAGCTCCTCTCCCTGGTCCTCCTGAGGGCTCTCACCATGTCCTCAGTGCTGAAGGTGAGTGCAGAGCTGCCAGGTTTGAGTGAGGATCTGTACTCCTCAAGCTGGGCCACGTTGTCCGTCTCAAACCTGGTGTAGAAAGCGTTGAGGTAGTCAGGGAGGGAGGAGGGGTTGCTGCCCTCCACCTGAATGTTCTGTGGTGGTAGCCGCAGTATTCACAGAGGCCATGGTTTTGAGGCCCTGCCAGGCTGAGTGGCGATCACCTGTGGTGAATTTTTTTCAACTGTGTTTTTATACTCCAGTTTAGCAGTTTTTATGGCCCTCTTGCCCTCCCTGTTGATCTCCTTTTTGTCCAGTGCAGAGCTGGTAAAGAAAATCCTCTTTCTTTTTTTTTTATAAGGATTTCCTTGAGTTCCTTGGTGATCCAAGGTTTGTTGTTGGGTACATGGAGACTGTTTTGAGGGATAATGTTGTCAGCACAGAAGGAGATGTATGATGTCACCGTGCTGACTTGTTCGCCGATGTCATCAGAGGGAGAAAGAAGGCTGTCCCAGTCAGTGGCTTCAAAACATCCTTGTAGGGTGAGGATACTTTCCTCTGTCCACTGCTTGATGTTTTTGGTGACCTTTCTAATCCTCTTGATGACTGGGGTGTAAGCAGGGCCAGCAGGATGGTGTGGTGGTCTGCTGAGCTGAGAGGGGGTCGGGTAGGGCTTTAAATGCATCTGGTACAGAGCCATAGCATTTATCCAGTCTTTCCCTGACGTGTGCTGCATGAAACATACTGTTGGTATCCTTTAAGCAACTTGTCAGGGGAACAGTGGTTGAAATCACCCAGGATGAACTTGGGAGAGTAAGGTGATAATTGTTCCAGTTTGTACAGAGTGTTGGTGATGTACTCTGTGGCTTTAGCTGCATCAGCTCTGGGGTGGATGTGAACCAAGATGATGAAAAGCTGTGGGAATTCTCTGGGATGTAGTAGGGGTGCAGGGAAACAGCCAGAAGCTCGATGTCTGTACTGTACAGCTTCTCCCTCACAGTGACTGTAGAGCACCAGCTGTTGTTTACGTACAGACACACGCCGCCACCATGTTGCTTCCCGGTGCGTTCGCGGTCTCTGTCCAGATGAAGAGGTGGTGAAAAATCATCAATGTGCAGCGCGCTGTCTTCGTCGTTGTTGTTTAACCACGATTCCGTGAATGCCAGAATGGAGGCAGTTCTGTACTCATGCAGGTGGTTGACACAGGCTTGCAGCTCTTCCTGCTTGGAGCGGAGAGACCGCACATTAGCAAGGATAAGGGACGGGAGCACTTGTTGTTTGTGTGTCTCCCTCTTTAGTCTAGCTCTCACCCCACTCTTCTTATTCCCCTCCTGGTTACCTTGTTATTGTGAGTTTTTCGATTTCGTGTCCACGGAGTATTTCCTCGGGAAAGCAGTCCATGGAAGCGGAGCGGAAAAGCCGGAGGCCGGGCTGCATCTGCGTCCGCAGCTGGATGAGGGAGTCCCTGGTGTAGGTGAGCCTTGGGGTCATGTCGAGGGTTGAAAACAAGTCCGAAAAATCACAAAAATGAGGAAAAGGAAACAAATACAAATATACAGAGTAGACCGTGTCATAAAATAAATATATTGTTAGTGCTTATTTAGTGCTTATTGTTACTTGTTTTTAATATAGTCTAAAAGGGCCGTCTCTGAGTAGAGTCTGAGCCAAGAGTACTTACAGGAAACTGCATGCTTTTGCAGAGCACAGGAGGTGCAGACAGAAAGTGAAACTAAGCAGAGTGTTTGATCGAAACTTAGTGTGTGGCGTGCAGCGGAAATATATATGTAACCATGCTGGCTTCTAAAGCTTTCAGACCTGAGCTTGTGTCTTCGTGTGTTCAGGCCTCCATTTCCGGAAATGTAAAATAAAGATCATTTTTTGAGCTTTGACCACTTTGAGCCGTGTCTTTCTTTGCCGTTAAAAGATACAAAGAACTGAATTTATAACAGCGAAATACAACAATGAAAAGAGCATTAAAGTTAGAAAAAGAACGCAAAACTGCTCAGCTGACTGGCCGGTCGACCGCACGAGCAGCAACCCGGAACTGGACCGTTGTAGCACAATATCGATTATGCTGTTGTCATTCATAGAATGTTATTTTAAATCCTTCATGTTATATTGGGGAGATTTCCTGGTGTCATTACCATCAAATATCATTATGAGTGATCAAAAGAAATATCACCACCTACATAAATCAGACACAAACACTAGCGTGCAGATTTAAACCAATGACAATTGGTACTGAAAGAACAGATTATCGTAGTATTAGGAATTTCGTTGTATTAACAATAGTAAACATTTTATCCATTATTCATTTAAGTAGGTCATAGGTTAAGGTGCTAAACATCCACAGATAGAGCACACCCACAGAGTTGGGAGAATAGGTCAGAGGTGTATGTGGGAAGCAAAAGCGACATTAAGCTGCCGTTAGTGGGATAAGGAGTTGGTAAGCCAAAGCAAGGAGAACATAGTGTGCGAAGAAGTAGGCAGAAAAGACATGAGATAGGGAGGCAGAAGATAGAGAGGGGATCAGTAGGCATCTAGTTTTGAGAAACAAAGGTTGTTGATGTCTGTGTTGTAGAATCATTACCCTGTTTTAGGTTGCATTATACTTCTGATTTAGAAATTGTGAAATTAATACCACTGATTTGTATTACACTATACTGCTGATTTATTATTGCAAATGAATTACACTGTTTTATGAGGCGTTATGCTGCTGATTTATAAAGAAATACTGTTTCCAGGGAATCATGCTTTTCTGATTACAAAGAGAACAGAACGTACTGCAGGGGGAATTCTCCCTCATCTCACACATATAATAATGTGAATGTGAAAGTTTTTTTATGACTTTGGAGGGGGGAGAAGTTATAAGAATGTGTGAAACTGTCAGACACTTCGAGATCTGCCGGACACCCTCCCGTGCACCTCTCCAGTCCCAGTGTTTGTATTGCTCAAAGTGTTTGTATGGAATAATTAGAATTGTATTGAATAAAAAGATTGTTGATTGAGCATTAAACACCGAGTGTTGTTCTTCCTTCAGCCCGAAGATCAAATAATTGGGGTATTTAACAGTACTAATCCAAAGCGGGGGTTTTTTAACTCTCCCTACAGCATGACACCACCATGAACCTAAGCCATTGGCACAAGCAGGATGGATCCATGCTCTCATGTTGTTTAGGGAAAACTCTGACCCTACCATTTAAATGCTAAAGCAAAAATTAAAAATCATCAGGCCAGGCAATGGTTTTCTAATCTTTTGTTGTCCAATTTTGGTGAGCTCAAGTGAGTTGTAGCTCATCAGCTTCAAGCATAAACATCTTGTGTTTAGAGATGCTGTCCTGCATACCTTCATTTGTAGTGAGTGGTTATTGTTGCCTTTATAACTGTTCAAAGTAGTCTGGCCATTCTCCTTTGACCTCTGACATCAACTAAACATTTTCATCAAGAGAACTTCCTCGATCTTGCTCGATATTGATCTTGACAGCCTGGACTGAAGTGGGGTCGCTGAATATTTGATGAGTCTAACAATGATGGCTATAACAGTCACCAGAGCTCAACCCAGCTGAACATTAAAAAATAGTATTAATTTCTTGTTTAGATTTTAAGACACTGGCAGAATTAATAACTTGAAACACTGAAGCTTTTCTAAAGGCACAAGGTACACAAACTCTTTACCAACAGGCATTTTTCTTGATTTTTCTTGTCTTTATGTCACTGCTCTGGTTTAGATCTCTTGTCTCACTGACAAGAGATCTGTAATGGTGTTTGAGTCTGTTTAGTCAAAAAATATTATGTATAACGCAACAGAATCATCAACCACAATCAATCAAATATGTGACAGAATGCTTTGTCTTTTTCTAAATTACATTTACTGACACTTATCATTTGTGTCATTCTGAAGGTCTTTAGCAGTATTGGGGGATAGCAAAAAGAAGTTAATTCTTGCAAATATCCTTAACTGAAACCAATCAATTCAATTCAATTCACTTCTATTTTATTTATATAGAGCCAAATCACAACAAAAGTCGCCTCAAGGCGCTTTATATATCATAAATAATATCATATATAATCGAACTCCATTTTGGTGCCCCCATTTATTGTTAAAACATATAAGCATCAGTGTTTTACTTATAAGTGATGAATGGAGAATACTAATATTTACTTCAATTACAATTATATGTCATTGAAACAAAAAAAATATTCACAGTTCCACAAATTATATCCCTTTAAGTGACATTTAGAGACACATTCTTTCTCTAAGATCATGTCAGTGGATATAATTAGTCTCAGCTTGATAGTCAGATATGTTTTAAGAAATAAACTGTCAACAATTACAGAAAACTATTTACAATGTGTACAGTAACCTCAGTGGTACTAAATAACAGAGTTATGAACAGACTGTCGATTCTGTGAAAATCAGAGCACTTAATTGTCTGCAGTGACTGTAGACTTTTGCACTGATCCCCTCTGTACTAGTTTAGTCAGTGTGGTTGACATTGAAAGTCCCACAAAGTGGGGTTCTCTGAAAGCAGAAACAATGTTTCACAATGTCCACAAGGGGTCAGTGTACAGAATAAATTCGCCTCATAGCATATGGCTCGCAAATTTGCTAATAGTAAGGCACAAATATGGCAAACTAGCAACAGTTCAACTAAAAAGCAGAACAGTCCTTTAACTTAATTCCTAATACAGCTGGGTGTAATTGTCACAAGACAGTACAGCTGCTGCTATTAAATTAGTGCTAAATAATTTTACCAACACAGTATGAAAAGTTTGGAATAGTCTATAGATGAGACTGTGGTGGACCACTGGAGGGCTCCACTCACACCCAGTTCTCTGGAAGTGTTATTGCTGTGGTTTGGAGAGGAAAGTATTCAGTTGTGTGGTGATGCGCAATAAACTAGGAGTGTTAATCGAGAGCTCTCGTGTTGTCTGTGTTCACCTCCACAAGACATATAATTTTAACAGTTACAAACAGTATCTTGCTACTTAACCTGCTGATGAAATAATGCATTAATGCACACCATATGAAACTGCGTGAGAGCTGCAATGTTCTTCAACCACTCCCTTACTAATATCCACTGTGTGCTAAGGGCATGGTCACTGAAGCAAAGTTCTTTTAAGTGCGCTTGATTATTGTCTCTAGACATACTGAGACAAAGTCAGAGAAGGAAAATGTAAACACCTCCTGCTATGACCAATAAAGGCGTGAGCTCTATATTCTCACACATTTATTAATATAAGAACTAACTGTCACAAGGAACTTGAACAACAAACAGGGGACAAAGGAAAAGACTTTATAAATCTCTGTTATTGTTGTTCAGTTTTCTTTTAGGAGCAATTAGAATTTTCTCTTTTGTAACTAAAAATATAAAAAATATATGATCTGTATTTTCTCTCAGCTCAGTTATTCAGTATTTTATCTCTTTATATGCAGTATTTGAATCACTGAAATTAATAAAAAGATGAATTAATTTAGCAGACTTAGATTATTTAAAAGAGGTTTTAAAACACACTTAAAACAGTTAAAAATGAGAAACGAGCTCTGTTATAAGAAGTACTAATCCCACATTTTTCCTCCTCCCTAGAATTAATCATAGCCTGATGACCCTTCCTCCTCTTCCTGCTCTCTGACTCAGCACCTACTGTCATATATTTCCTTCTTCCCTCCCCTTCAGGTCTGCACTTTGAACATGGGTGTAACCAACGTGCAGTGACGCAGAAGACGTGAGAGGAATGAATCACTGTAAAAGAAATTCTGGTTGTTTAGATCAGAGCTCAGACTAATTTCAGTTATGAGGAAGTGAAACTCACACAGTCACTGATACTGAGAGGAGAAATGGCGCAGAAAGGAGTTCAGCTGGACCAAGAAACTTTCTCTTGTTCGATCTGTTTGGATCTTCTGAAGGAGCCAGTGACTATTCCCTGTGGACACAGCTACTGCATGAACTGTATTAATGGCTTTTGGGATGGAGAGGACGAGAAGAAAACCTACAGCTGCCCTCAGTGCAGACAGACTTTCACAGCGAGGCCTGTCCTGGTGAAAAACACCATGTTAGCAGTTTTAGTGGAGGAGCTGAAGAAGACTGGACTCCAAGCTGCTCCTACTGATCACTGCTATGCTGGACCTGAAGATGTGGCCTGTGATTTCTGCACTGGCATGAAGCTAAAAGCTGTGAAATCTTGTCTAGTGTGTTTGGTCTCTTACTGTGAGAAACACCTTCAGCCTCATTATGATGTGGCTCCATTAATGAAACACAAGCTGGTGGAGCCCTCCAAGAAGCTCCAGGAGAACATCTGCTCTCGTCATGATGAGGTGATGAAGATGTTCTGCCGTACTGATCAGCAGAGTATCTGTTATCTCTGCTCTGTGGATGAACATAAAGGCCACGACACAGTCTCAGCTGCAGCAGAAAGGACTGAGAGGCAGAGAGAGCTGGAGGTGAGTCGACAAAACATCCAGCAGAGAATCCAGGACAGAGAGAAAGATGTGAAGCTGCTTCAACAGGAGGTGGAGGCCATCAATCAGTCTGCTGATCAAACAGTGGAGCACAGTGAGAAGATCTTCACTGAGCTGATCCATCTCATCCAGAAAAGAAGCTCTGATGTGAAGCAGCAGATCAGATCCCAGCAGGAAACTGAAGTGAGTCGAGTCAAAGAGCTTCAGGAGAAGCTGGAGCAGGAGATCACTGAGCTGAAGAGGAAAGATGCTGAGCTGAAGCAGCTCTCACACACAGAGGATCACATCCAGTTTCTACACAACTACCCCTCACTGTCAGCACTCAGTGAGTCTACAGACTCATCCAGCATCAATATCCGTCCTCTGAGCTACTTTGAGGATGTGACAGCAGCTGTGTCAGAGGTCAGAGATAAACTACAGGACATTCTGAGAGAGGAATGGACAAACATCTCACTGACAGTCACTGAAGTGGATGTTTTAGTGCCAGATCCACCACCAGAGCCAAAGACCAGAGTTGGATTCTTAAAAATCACACTGGATCCAAACACAGCACACACACAGCTGTTATTATCAGAGGGGAACAGACGAGTAACTTTAATGAATCATCAACAGTCCTTTTTGGATCATCCAGACAGATTTACTGGATGGTGGCAGGTCCTGAGTGAACAGAGTCTGGCTGGACGTTGTTACTGGGAGGTGGAGAGGAAAGGGCGAGTTTATGTAGCAGTCGCATACAAGTACATCTGCAGAGCAAAGTGTGGAAATAAATGTGGATTTGGGCATAATGACAAATCTTGGGCATTACATTGTTCCAAAAACTGTTATACATTTTGCCATAACAACACTGAAACTCCCATTTCAGATGTTGGGTCCTCCAGAGTAGGAGTGTATCTGGATCACAGAGCAGGTATTTTGTCCTTCTACAGTGTCTCCAAAACCGTGAGTCTCCTCCACAGAGTCCAGACCACATTCACTCAGCCGCTCTACGCTGGAGTAAGGTTTTACAACAGTTATGGAGATTTTGCTGAGTTCAATAAACCAAAATAGACTGAACTCTTTCATATTGTTGTGGGTTTAAAGTCTGCATTTTATTTTCTCTCCATCATTTTTGCCAATTTCTACACTGCATAGAGTTCAGCTCTCAGTCAACCATTATGGGTGATACATTCTAGTTTTGTTAGGTGGTCTTCTTTCCTTTGTATATCTAGCCATGGAGCCTATCATTGCTCATGATGTTTTTTATTAACAAAAATGCTTCACCACATGAAAATGTAAACTTTTCTTTGCTCTAAATATTTAGGGAATATTTGTATTGATGTATTTGTATATCGTGTCTTCCACTTCATGGGCCTTAACAGTGAAATTAGGATTGTTTCCTTTATCACACAGAATTTATCATCACTTTGTACGTTAGGAAAGAAATGCATAATTACATTTTATCTGTTTAGAAGACCTAACCTTTCTGTTTTTATTTTGTACATACACAAAATATTAGCTATTCTGTGATCTTTTCTTTTACTTTAGCATGTGATTAATTTCAGCTGTTTTCCCACCTGTTTCTTGTGCCCTCGTCAACGTGTATGTATATATATATTGTCTCAGCCTCTCTGTTGTTGTCTCCCTCTGTCGGGTTGTCTGTTTGTCTTGCATTATGTTATTCCAGGTCTCAGGTTTCTTTTATGCTTCCGTTCATGTTGTCTTGTCACAGTTTTGATAGCTAATTTTAAGTTATCCCAGTTTAGATTTCAGTTTAGTTTTTCTCCAGCTTGCTTTGCCTTGTTTTCTGTTTGTGGATTCAGCCTAATAAATGACTCGCCTTTTGTTTTCTCTCCCGTGTCTGCTTTTGGGTCCACACTGCAAACACACTGGCCCGCCCAGGCTTAACACTATTGTTCAACTACAAAGCTATTTTGAGTTTTACTTTGTGCTTTGGAGTTGTGTGTCCTGCCCTGACAGGTTGTGCGGGAAACTCCCAGTAGATCAGCAAGTTTCTGACCAGCCCATGTGAAATCAATAACCACACCTTTTTCCACTTCACCTTTTGTAAAGTAAAATTATTTCTACTGTGATGGGACTGGACTGAAGTGGGGTCACTGAACATTTGAGGACTAAGAAAATGATGTTAATCATATGCTTTGGCAATCACAAATCTCAACCCAGCAGCACACCTCTGGCAGATTTTGGACTGAAGAAAATGTTCTCACCACCATAATCAGAACACAAAATGAAGTATTTTTTTGTTGTTGTTTTTATAGAACTGTGTTCATTTCTCCTTTAGAGTTTCAGACACTTGCAGAATCAATATCATGAAACACTGGAGCTATTCTAAAGGCACATGGTACACAAACAACTTAATAAAAAGCCTTTTCCTTTAATTTCCCATTCCCACTTGTCTTTGTTGCTGAGCTGGTTCTGATCTCTTGTGCTTCTGAAAAATGGCGTCTGAAGCTGTTTGGTCAGAAAACATTATGTATGACACAATAGAATCTTCAACCACGTGACTGAATACTTTTTGTATCATTCTGAAGGTCCCTAGATCGTAGTATATAGAAGATGGTGGGGGGGAAAAACAAAAAACAAAAACACAATAAACAAACAACAACTTAGTTTTCAAACTTAGTCACTTGATTTCTGTCCCCCTATTTATTGTTAAAACATATAAACACAATTGTTGTACTTATAACTGATGAAATGCTATATTATAAAACTCACTGTTACTTTAATATTTACCACTTATTTGAATAAAGATCATAAAACTGGAAACACAGCACTAAAAAATATGGTTAACAATTACATGCAATTAAAATGAAAAATACTGACAGGGCATCAAATTATTTAGCAAAACACACATAGAAAAACATTCCTTCTCCCAGGTCATGTTAATAAATAAAATTAGTGCCAGCTTGACAGTTACATGTGTTTGTTTTTTTTGTTTTTTTTAGAAATGAATGAAAACTATTTGTAATACACACAGTTTAGAGATACTGAATTACAGTTAATAGAGCATAAGCACATATTGTAGATTCTGCAACAATCAGAGCACCTTGTCTGCAGTCACTGTAGACCTCTGCACTAATGGGATGTGCATTTTTACCTTTATACTAGTTTTTATTCAGTGTGACTGACACTGAAGGTGACATTGTGCATGTCCTGTCTGTTTGGGCTCTATATTATCACAGATGAGAAAAGGTTTAGTACTGTAAGAGTTACAGTGGGATGCAAAAGTTTGGGCATCCTTGTTAATAGCCATTATTTTCCTGTATAAATCGTTGGTTGTTTCAATACAAAAATGTCAGTTAAATATATCATATAGGAGACACACACAGTGATATTTGAGAAGTGTTTATTGGATTTACAGATTAACAAGGTTGCCCAAACAGCAGAGGGCAGCAAAAGATCAGTGTAAAATGCGTGGTGTCTGCACTGAGATGAAGGAAAAGAAGTTAAAATGCTCTATTATTGTTGCTCAATTTTTATTTTTGAGCCAATTTGAATTTTCTTATTTTTGTAACTAAAAATGTAAAACATATATGGTCTATATTTGTTCTTAGCTCAGTCTTTACAACCTATTCACTATTTTCTGTCTTTATATGGAGTATGTGAATACCTAAAATGAATAAAATGATTAAACTAATTTAGAAGACTTGGTAGATTCTTTTAAAAAAGAATATTTGAACAGTCCCATAAAGTTGATTCTGTTCATCTGGACGTGGCATTTTCAGTAGGAGAAACGTTTCATCGCTCATCCAAGTGACTTCTTCAGTCTCAGCTGACTGCAGGTTTCCCGAACCTTATAAACAGTATATTTGAATAATGACTGAAACTAGGACCACTGACGAACAATGGGCTGTGAGGTCAGTTTCATAATCACTAATATGCAAACTGTCATGACCATTGATCAATGACCACCGATTAATGACCATTAATTACCACGTATAAATCATGGCAATCCTCCTGGCGCTTAACAGTGCACACTATATTACTCTGCTTGTGCTGTGAGACCCAATTCTATGGGTGGACCAGTTTTTGGTGCAGCCCGTTTTGGGGTTTAAAAGCCACAGAGACGCGTTGTTTAGAAAAAATGAGTTAATGTGATTAGTAGTGCTGTCAATAGATTTAAAAAAAATTACCAATTAATCCCAAAATTTTCTGAAATTAATCGCGATTAATCGCAACTACTTGATAGCCTGGTTGCAATTACATTTTTTCAACTTTGTATTTAAGGTTGTAACTGACATTTATGCAAAATAATTAAGTGAATGCAGAATAAACACAAAGAATGTATGCTTAAATTATAAAAAAAAATGAATAGTTTTCTTAAGTCTTTTAACACAGGTTCTGTCCTGTGAAATACAACTTTAAAAAAACCTATATTCTAATAGGTAAGTATACACTAATATATAATATATATTAGTGCTGCCAAACAATGAAAATGTTTCATCAAATTAATCACAGGGTTAATGTGGATACATTTTGATGAATTAGGATTAAATATCATTCATTTTTATTCTATATTAGTCTATTCGTTTTGCATGAGCAAACAGACTCGAGAAAAAAGGGAAAATATATGCACTTAACATGTTTATTGAACTTCTTGAACATTCATGTTAACAAAAACTCTGTAAATATTTATCCGCTCTCTCTGTCACTCTTGGGGAGGCATTTCAAGTCCTTGAAACGAGAAACCAAAGCTATGTAAAGCAAGTGTTCTCAACGACATTAATAGGTCTGCAGTTTGTTGCAATTCACTTGGCAATTGTGTCAGTCAATATGGCCGAGGTACACTTACTGAGTGCCCGATGCTCCATGAGTGGTTTGTCGCAAGCTGGGTGACGTGTTAGCCAAAGTACTAGCAGCATCCCCGAGTAACGTTTGCTTCACGCCAATGTGATATTTTAAGCTGGAAGTGGTTCGGTGAAAAGAAAATTCCTTCTTGCACAACGTGCATAATACTTTATGTCGGTCGACTGTTCTGTCTTGTTATTTTTTTAATACTCAAATTTCCAACTCAGAGGGCCAATGTGTGTTTATCATCTTCCATATTGAGTTGATTGGTTCAGCTGCCCATCACTACCAGATCAACTGCCCATTTGCGCAGGTGCGAAGGTAAGTCTACTTGGACAAACTGCCCAAAATGCGTTGACGGAAAAATGTCAGGGATTTTGAGTCATTCTGCAATCCAGATGCGCTAATTGCGTTTAAAACAAATTGAATCGTGTTGACAGTGATGGCGGATTAATTTGTGTTAACGCGTTAATTTTGACAGCACTAGTAATTAGTGAATTGTACAGTACAGACTTTGCTGAGGAGCAGAGTAAACCAATAACTTGCTTAGCTGTGTCTACTGACTCTATCTCTGCCTGATGCACAGCAGTTTACCAGTTTTAGCGAGTTTTTGGAAGAAACAGCCAGGTGCCTTCATGGGGCGGCTGGTGACAATCTCACATCAGAGAACTACAAGGAGGCTGAGCTTATTCTGCTGAGAGCTGCTCAGAAAGACAGTTTCCCAGATGAGATGCAATGCCTGACCACTGGGAAACCAGTTCACTCATCCAGCCGTCTGTTTTGCCTAGACCTGGAATTTGATAAGTCACTTCAACTCATAAGAGTAGGTGGTCGTCTGAGACGGTGCCATGATTTGGAAGCTGCTGTGATACATCCAGTAGTATTGGACCCTAAACATCCAGTCACCAGACTACTCATCCGACAGGTTGACAGTGATTTGAAACACCCAGGAGGAGAGAGATTGTTTGCAGAATTGAGAAGGAAATACTGGATTCTTCGTGGCCATGAAGCCATAAGAAGTGAACAGCGCTCCTGCCCTGAGTGCCAAAAATGGAGAGCCCAACCTGTCAACCCAAAGATGGCTGACCTTCCCCTTGCATGCCTACGATTACATCAGCCAGCCTTCTTCTCAACAGGCATCGACTGCTTTGGGCCAATGCAGGTGAAGGTTGGTCGTCATCTCCACGACCAAAACCCCAATAGTCATGAACCATGAACCAAAAGGAAAACAGACTAATAAAGCATAATACAAAATCAAAACATTGGGTCACAGGCCCAGGACAGTAACACTTGGCTCCTTGAAAGTGCAATATAAAGAAATAAGGGGTTGCCCAATACTTTTGTACTGGTAACTGGATTTATTTTATCTGTTAGTTAGTCTAAGAAGCTTGGAAAGAAAAGCGTCTAAACTTCTTTGAGTTGCTTGAAGACGTTTCACCTCTCATCCGAGAAGCTTCTTCAGTTCTAAGGTCAAATGGTGGAGATTGTGGATTGTGGCTGATTGTGACCCACACACGCTTTCACACCTTGGCTTATGTGATTAGGTAGAGGATCATCAGGGGGTCCTTTGTCCCTCTTTGGGGGAAACTCCCACTGGGTTTAAATCTGGGACTCTCCACCATTTGACCCTTAGAACGGATAAAGCGGATGAAGATGGATGGACATCCAGACTCACTAAAAAGTTTGACTTTTGAACAAAAAAATCTGTATTTTTTATTCTTCTTTGGAATTTTTAATCTCCTCTTCTGCATACCTTGGTTTGTAACAAGTGGTTATTTGAGTCATTTTTGCCTTCAAAACTGCTCAAAGTACTCTGGCCATTCTCCTCTGACCTCTAACATCAACAAAAAAATTTCTCCCAGAAATCTTCAGCTTAGTAGACTTTTTTTAGACCATTCTCTGTAGATCTTAGATATGGTTGTGCTAGAAAATCCAATAGATCAGCAAGTTTCTGAAATACTCAGACTGGACCATCTGACATCAAGAACCACGGCACTTTCACAGTCAGTTTGTAGGGTGGAACAT